CAAGTGTTCAAAAACAAAATTTACATCAGGTGGTTCATGCAAATCGTTAGTCCATTCACAAGATTTTAATGGCTCTTCTTGAAATTCGTTACCGTCGGCGTCAGCATCGCTAGAAGTAGAAGATTTACTGTCATCAGAATCTATNTCAGAGGCACTGTCATCATCACTAGCACGCTCTACGTCGCTTCGTCACTTTCCCAAAATGACGGATCCGCTAAAATAGCATCCACACTTCTATGGGCCATTTAGCTCGCCACTAACAAAAACTTGACAGATCCATTACAAAATGTTGTCAGGGTAAACAATAATTAGAGTTATTTCCCTTTTATGACCTAATTTAGAACGTCAATGTCAACTTCCCGAACTTTGACCCACTAAACTTCATGGACGTAATATCACGTCAAGTAGTCTGAACGGTTGTAAATTGTATGACATTATATTACGTCAAAAAGTCTGAAAGGGTTAACATTATGTAAATTTCAATAATTAACTTATTATTGTCATAGATATAACAGAAAATATTATATCACAAGAGAATAAATAACTAGATAATTCTCCAATTGGAGAATCCTCAAGTTTGTCCATAATATGAAGAAGTCTATCAAGTCTTGCTAACGGTGGGTCAGAGGAGGGTCTGCCTCTTTTAGTGGGTGGCTCTTCACCTACTATTTCCTGTGATGCTAAACCTGAGATAAGATTTTTTTATAAGGTAGTTTTCTGGTGTACACTTTCTAAACTTCTGGTTAATTTATATAAAATGAAACTATTAACAATACATACTTCAAACAACCAAAAGAATGTTTTCTTGTACCATTTTACATTTTTTGTAGTGAAAGAGTAATACTGATTTAACTGGTCTTATTTATCCACCCCACCCATATATTTATTATATTGCACAATGACTAAAGGCTGAACACCTTTCTTTACATGCTCTATTGTTTCATTTCCTTTGTGAAACGAGGAAATCATAGTCACCAGGCGCTTGTCCATCCAATTTAGAATCATGATATTGTCTGACCAAAAATGCTTTTATATCCCCCCTTTTCATACCTTTCTTCGACTTAATTTCAACTGGAACCCCCTTTCTATTGGTCATTAGTGTACCTGTAAGGTAAGTGTTATAGTAATATAATATGTTTGTTAAATCTAAGGAGTTGTACAGTCTATCTGCATAAACATGGTAACCTTTATCTAAATAAGGTTCACAAATAGTTAAAATAGATCTAGCTGTCTTTGATAAATAGTCATTTGGATTCGGTCCACTATCAGTTTTACCATAATACAGTTTTATATTCATCATGTAACCCGTCACACTATCAGCCAAGGTTCGGGCTATAATACCCCACTTTGTTGGTTTTTTAGGAATATACTGTCGAAAAATTAAACGTCCCACGTCCCACGTCCCAATCATACTTTCATCTGCTGCAATATTCTGATATGGAGTAAAATAATGTTGGAAATTCTTCACTATGCCATCAATAAGTGGTTATATTTTATCCCCACGTTGTCTGTTGTCTGGATCTGTTTGACAAACATGTAGCATAGTGTGATAAAGAAGCAAAAATCTGTTTCTATTCATTGCAGATATAAAAAACGGAACAGAAGAAATCCAATCAGTAAGCCAGTATGACTGTATGAGTGTATGGATGGTAAATGAACAATGCCCATATTCATAATAAAACCAAAAAATATATAAAGTTCAGCACAACTAGTGTCTCTCCATTTCCGCAATCTTGATCGTGGCTTTAAAACATCAGTAACCTTATCCCTTGCATATCTATTTATTTCCAAGACTAATTTTTCAACAATATCTTCACTCATTAATAATTTAAAAAAATCCATAGGCTCTTCATCATCATTCAACAAATTTTCTTGAATATTTCTTGGTCCTGGTTCATTATCAGGTCTAAATCTAAAACCTCTTGGAACATATAAATCTTCGTTGTGGACATCAACCCATTCATAATTATAATTAGGCTTTCTTTTCTTCTTGGCAGGTGTCTCATCACAGTTGACGTTGTCGATGCTTGAGAATCGTCATTTTCCTCACTTTCTTCGCTCTGTAGTGATTCACCTGGAGGCCTATTTTCTTCATCGGTTTCACTATCGGAAGAACTGGAATTTGTAACATCATCCCCTATCCAATTTTGAATTAAAAAACTGGCCTGCTCAGCAGAGTACGTTAAACGTTTCCGATGACTATCGCCCGACATGGGCGCAGCCATTGTTGTTTTGACAGAAACAAAACAAGCAGACGACCGACCTTCAACTTTTGCATAAATCATTAGATAATGAGTCTGAGGTCAACCAATCATTATCTTGGAATAGGGAAACTCCTCTGATGTCATTAAACCATGTTTATATTTAGTAACTCGTGTATTCTTAACAGTTAATAAGCAGTGAAAGAAAACGCGTTTTCCGCAAGTTAGAACGTTATATTTAGGACGCGTTAACACGTTTTACGCATGGAAAGGGTTAAAGAAATTGTCATCAGTTATAATATATTCCTATTAAAGATAAATACTTAGAAAAGTTAATTATACCACTGAGTATCCATACAACGGGTTTTCTCTCGACTTACTTATAGATCAAATATTGTACATGAAAATAGGTGACGCATTTGGCCGCCGTTGTCGAGTTGGTTACTCATGAAATATGGGCCAAAGTGGGGAGATTCATAAAGAAAATTGAAACAAACCAATTTAAATTATTTTGTAGAAAATCTGAGGAAACTTCTAAGACATAAAACAAAAATTTGCGTTTTTTATCTTTGACAAAATTCGGTGTTGAATCCTTATATGCATGCATAGGTTAAATACCACTGTATATCACCCAAATCTTGTTCATTTCTTTCCAATGAGACCGTAGGGACATTCAATTTTAAATGCTTCCCCACTGAAATTTACAGGGCATCACTCATATTCATGAGGAGAAATAACTTAATTCAGCCTAATTTCTTACCCTAATAAAGAGTGAGTATTATTATCATTACCTTCATGTCATACGATAAAGCCAAATTCTATAGAATTAAGATAAATAAAACTGGTTATTTACCTGTGGAGAGAGAAATAAAACAGTAAATTCCATCTATTTTTTTTTAAATCAGAAGAAACTGAATGAGTCTCCTAAGCAGAAGAGTAATTATCTCCCTTTACTAGTATACAGTCTAACCACAATGCTTCAGATCACAGTTAATTCATCTCTTGTATACGTTATTTAGCTACCCATCGTAAGTCACTCTTGACCTTCGAAACCGGTGGGTATAATGGTCTGAACGAATTTTCAGAATTGACCTCATAAAAAAACACATAAAAATCGAAACTAGAATTCCGATAAATTTGGTAATAACAAGAGATGAATATTTTTCTTCAACTAAATAGTTTTAGATGGGAAGAGGTCATCACTCGCCGCTAACAATTATAATTACAAGTACATATCTCTTATTCATGACATGTGATGAAAAGTAGGACGTAAAACTCCATTCACACTTCATTTCATTTCATTTCTAATTCATGATAACTGTCAAAGTTTCTGTTCGTTTGAATTTAACTTTTTTTTAAAAGAATGCATTGGTTATTGCTGCATACAAATATTCCCCAATTTTCATTTAATTAATACATACTTATTAATTTAAAACTGCACGAAGCCGTAGTAAACAGAAGTGAGAGTTTAGCAACTTAGCTAATTAGAAGTTACAGTGGCCTGTGCCAACCCCCCAAAGTACAAATATGGGTTCAAATAGGGAAAAGACTGACTACATGGGGATTGAAGGTGGCTATGCCACTGAGCGACTGGAGATTCAACCAAGCTGTCACAGTAATCACAACGACTTGTACAATACGATAGGCCTAACATATTCATCGATCGAACCTTAAATAACGGAACACAATTTTATGGTATAGGCCTACTACTCCTTAGTTTTATTACACACGACGTTTCAACAATCTACATTATCATCTTCGGGTGAAGTGAGGAAATATGGTACAAGAAGTTATATATATACACAAAAATATAACAATAGCAACAATCGATTAGGGATTAGGACAAATTAGGCTCTGAGTACGGTGGCTCGTATACGACATCGTTTTAATTTTCTAATTTTGAATTAAAAAACTGGAATATAATTATAAAACATAATTTTGAATTAAAAACTTGAATTTTCACCCGGGTGAAAATTAAGGTGATAATTCAATAATATTTAATTAAAAACTTGAATTTTCACCCAGGTGAAAATTAATATTCACCCAGGTGATAATTCTAGAATTTTGAATTTAAAACTTGTATTTTCACCCGCGTGGAAATTAGTTTTCACCCAGGTGATAATTCAATAATATTTGAATAAAATTTTTGAATTTTATATATCAAAAGTTTATTTTTTAAAGAAAAACATATTTTAACAGCAATTTCATATTTGAACGGAAAAGTGATTAGAGATTAAATGTCTAGTGTCTAGTCAATTTTAACCATACCGCTATGTATAATACACGTGACTACATGCTGACCACGTGATAAAAAATCATTAACCTTTTTTCAACAAAAAAAAAAAAAATTAAATAAAAATTTGAAAAAAATTAATTTAATATTATGGAATTTTCACCCGGGTGGAAATTCAAGTTTTTTTTATTAAATATTATTGAATTATCACCTGGTGGAAATTTAAGTTTTTAATTCAAAATTCTAGAATTATCACCTGGGTGAAAATTGATTTTCACCCGGTTGGAAATTCAAGTTTTTAATTGAAAATTATGTTTTATAATAATATTTAGTTTAATTTATTTAATTTAAAGATTTCAATAGCTTCCCTTATCTCTCTGGTGTGCTTGTGGGGAATATTCATAGCAAGAATATTTACTTTTTTGATGTGTTCAATTTCATTGGGTAGGTTTTGTGGATCGCAAATTTCACTGGCTCTTTTTGTTAAGGCTGCAATAGTTCTATTTTTTGTTTGGTGGGGGTGGAATGATGTGGAGTGGAGGTATTGGTCAGTATGGGTTGATTTGCGGTAGACGGTCATGCTGAGGCTAGTTGTCGTTCTGGTGATGTTTATGTCTAGGAATGGTAATACTTGGTCTGCTTCTTTTTCTATGGTAAATTTGATGCGGTTATGCTGTTGGTTAAGGTGGTCAAGGAGTTGATCTTCATCATCATTTTCTATTAAGGCAAAGACGTCGTCAACTTTCCGGTACCAACATAGGGGTTTAATTTGTGTGGTGGATAGGGCTAAATTCTCAAATCTTGACATGAAGGCTTCGGTAAGGAGTGGTGATAGAGGAGAGCCCATTGGTAGGCCGTGTATCTGTAGGTACATTTAGGAGTCCCAAGTGAAGTAAGTGATATTAACATAGCTTAATCAATCTTATGATGCTGTCTGGTTTTAGTTGGGTATTATTCAAAAGGTGAAGGTTTTGGTTGATAGTGTGGCTGAGGGCATCTATGGCTTCTTCTTTTGGTACATTTGTGAAAAGATCCACGACATTGCAGCTAATCATCTTGTCTATAGGTTGGTTATCCTTGATGAGGTTGCAAAATTCGGCAGAGTCTTTGAAAGAGTCAGCGAGTTTACCCATGGGTGAAAGGATTTTGGATATGTAAGATGAGACGTTGTAAAATACTGAACCCCTGGAGCATACTAGTAAACGGACTTTAGCTGTACTCTTGTGGATTTTAACTGTAGTTCTTGCATAAGGTATAGTGGGGTTGGTGTTATAGAAGGAGTTATATCGGAGGTATGTGATTTCTTCATTGTCCCGTAGTTCGGTTAATGCTGCCTTGAGGTCTGTTGGTAGGGTTTCTCTGACAGTTAAGAAGCTACCTATACAAATCATCAAAACCATCAAATCCAACCTGTTCAAGTTATGTGAAAATCAGACAGAAACAGTAGTTTGATATATGTGATAGATCTTTGTGAAAATACAAAAGTCAAGAATATTTTTTCATGAGTAACAATTCAGGTTTTTGAAGATCTTGTTAACTTACTGGTCCTTAGTCAAACCTCACTGTATATTCATATTTACAGAAAGGAATAAGCATGGTCTGCTTGGCGAGTGGCAATGGCCATTTCTATACAAATCATCAAAACCATCAAATGCAAGTAGTTTTGTGAAAATCAGACAGAAACAGTAGTCTCGGTGTGATAGATCTTTGTGAAAATACAAAAGTCAAGACTATTTTTTCAGTCTAAAAAAGTTTGTAAGACCAACTTACCAAAAATGGGTGGAGGATTCGCCCTACATCTTCATCTGTTCCTCTTCATCTGTTCTTCATCTGTTCTTCATCTGTTCTTCATCTGTTCCTCTTCATCTGTTGGCGCGCGCCGCTTCTTCTGTTCTTCATCTGTGAGTAGGAGGATCTGTAGGGTCATACAGGCCATGACCCCAGAACACTCCTATTGTGGCAGTGCTATAGTGGGTAGGTAAATTACCAGACGATTCACCCTTTCTAACCTGAAATAGATTGAAACCAAAATAGTAACGAACCTTAACATCACAGATCTGTTGTCATAACAAGGAAACAACTAGCTGTCGCCAACACATCAGTGTTCTTCAGCCACGTTTCAACAAAATGATTTCAAAACTACTTTAGACTTTACAGAGTTCGCCAGCCTTTTTAAATTATTTTCCAAACACCGAAACTTGCTAGTACTTATCATTCTAGAATGTTCACAAAGAACATTGACTTACAATAAAGATATAGTCCACTTCATCCATTGTGTAAAATACAAGTTTAAGATACGTTTCATTTTAAGCGTGTTTGTAAAACAGATATAAATATGTGCCATATATGTACATTTACATTGCATTAAATTTAATAATTCTGTTCATCGACTGCTAAACAACTTTTTAAATTTCCATTTAAAAATATATAAATTACTAATTTATAAACCCTGTCGTGTTAAATATTACTTCTACAAAATTTGTAGATAAACTCGTACTTTATCTTAAACAATTATCATATTGTTATCTATCACTTTATTTATATCAGATGAATGCTTATTTTCGCAATTTTTTGTTGATTACATACATGCACTGGATTGATGTTATAACTAATGTAACTCCGGTCCATACATCTATTTATATAATAGTATAACTTTTTCGAGAACTAAATATTGATAATATTTAGATAAATCTTAAAGAAAATTATTTGAAACTTTATGAAATTATGCAAATTTATACTATGTAAATACATTTTGTGTTTTTCAGAAAATAGAAGCACTTTGCTCAAAGACAGACGAAGATAATCTTTCAACGATAACTTGTAATAAAATCATGAACTGTTGTTTTTATTGCATCCCGCCATTTTAGGGTAACCTTGACTTTTCCGATACTCAGCGGAGCAAACTCGCAAAAAGTGTAGGTGTATCAGAAAAGTGTAGGTGTATCACAAAAAGTGGAGGTGTATCGGATAATAACCTACACTAAAGATTAAAGGATCGAGAAAAAATGTATTTAAGAATGGAATACTATCCAGACTTCTGTTAGTTCCCTAAAAGTGTACTTTTTAAGGGATACCGAGTTGTCATAACCTGTTCTAGATTGAAAACATGGAATAAGGTGATATTTTACGTTTTTCGTTTCTGCATCTGATAGGGGTAATGAGAACATACAACAACATGTAGTGTGTAATGTAATTTTGTCAGGGAAGTAGTACAGTCATGTTTTCCATGTTCAACAGTCGACAGATCTTTTGGATGCACAACCGGTAGCACACTAAGCCACCAAGCGTCCCTCATTATGCTTTAACCATTTGACATTATGCATGATACGCCAGAACAGGCGTTGACAGAATTTCTAAAATATGATAATTTGAAACTTACACGAGGAGCTTCCATGCCACACCATAAGCACTTTATTCATATATATTGAAGCTCTATCTGTATACACCTAAAATTAGAAAAATTAAACAGAACCTCAAAAATCATGTCGTTTCACGCTATGCGATCTAAAATTACAATAACAAAATACTTTTACTGTTGAAATAGTGCTCAATATTTCAATTGTATAGCGATCTAGAAATGCACTCCTAAAAATAGATATTTAATACGTTATTTATTTCATCACAGAAAACATACTGTACATTTTCACCCTAATCAATCTTGACAGTCCGCAATTAGATATTTTGTTACAATCAACATCATGGCCGCCTTGTTTCGTAAATAGTGTGCAGGTTTTTTTTATCAAGTAATAGTCTGACACCTGTTGATTTCAACCTAGTTTTAATAGAGCCAATTCAGAAACAATTAGGAAGTTCTCTCGTTGCTATTTTCAAGGTGTTTTCATCTGAAACCAATCTAGAACTGATCCCCATACTTGGCATTTCATTGTCTATGTTTCAAGTTGCAAAATTCCCCAGCGTGAAAATTCCTCCGCATAAAAAACGTAATTTTCCTGCTTATGCTAACTGATCCGGCTCATCTTGATTAAATAAAGGTGATTTGATTTGCTTATCTGACCCCTGATCCTTCAAGTCCTTATTCCCATCAATGATTTAAATTAATTCTCAACCAGATTCATTGGAAAATTGTCAAAGAGGTGATTCTGTATAGCTATACCATAATTATGAGACACGACTTGTAATTGGCTTGCGAAAGTGGGATTTATTTCTTCTAAATCAAAGGTTATATATGAAGTAAACTCCCACACCTTTTCTAAATCAACTAGGTAGAAGTCAACAAATATCTGAATATTATAAAATGAGAATGACTTACCGCCATTTGTTCCAAGAGAGGCTGGGTGGACATGATATGGCAGCTTAGCCGAGTACATCCTAGGTGGCCCTAGCAAGGTAGCCCACAGGCTGCCACAACTAAACTACACGCGAGCCCAACCCGTAAACGCGAAAATTTTGCTCCTTGTGAGCTACCTCCAAAACCCTAGGTTGTACACCATATCTAACCAAGTTGTCCGTAGCTAAAGACGAGCTACTATACTTGAAACCCTGAAATATATGAAAACATCACAATAATACAACCATGAAATTAACTTTTTGTTTTACATGTGTAATAAGTTGGCCCATTAAAACTGATGTATGAACATAAATGTCACTGGGACTGACCGGGATATAATTCATTATTGTTCTTTTCTGATCAAACTCACTTCAAACTATCTGTAATACTTTTCAGAATCACAATCTAAAGGTTGGTTCAATCAAGTAAGCAAAATTGTACCAATGGAAGATTAAGTTGTTGTCACTTGCGGGTGTCTAGTAAAAAATCTTACATGTAGCAAGAATCAAATGACTTCATCATGATATATATAGTGCTCAATTTTATACCCTTATAATGTACATCTATGATATACTAACCTCCAAGGGAATTGTATCCCAACTATGGTGTATTAACTCAATAGCAAAAGCCACTATTGAGCACCCTGGCCTGAAACGAAAAGACAAAATCATCAAAATCTAAATGTTATTGATGTGTTCATTTGACAGATAGTGGCGAAGATGTGTAACATATTAATATTATGTTGAATAGTTACGCATCCTTTTTGGTCGTCAGGTACATAAAGAAACTTGGACTATTTATATAGACATTTAGGGAATTATGATGAAGAGATGTTATGAAGTGGATTATTTGCGAATTACAGTATTTTCTAACTAAAGGGTACAGCATTCTGAAAATACCACAATATCATATTGAGCTGAAATTGTCATCGGCATATGTCTATCAGCAGTCAAAGGTCTATCGGTGTCTGGGTCTTCTTATTCTCTCATCCGAAGGGGCGAATGAACTACGATTTTGAGTCCTAGTTAAAAGCCAAGCTTTGCTTCATTTTGTATCTCAAAAACAATTTGCAATGGATTTTTGAAATGAGTCTTACATTAATATATTTAATACAATAAATATTACTTTTTCAAATCGAGAGGGAGAGGGCATTTATTGAAATTTATCTAAAATTTCAGGAAATTTAAAAAAGTCGACTTACCGGTTGCTATAAACAAAGCAGACTGACCGAGCAAGTAGTCACTGGTAACCAGTTACTAATTGTCTTGATTACTATTCAATTAACAACATAGTCCGAAACGTGTTTTTTCTTTCTTGCCTCTGGTAAAGGCAATAGTTAAAATCAATTTAGAAATCCAATTATTTCTAATAACCATAGAACCTAGAAAACCAAATTACTATAGCATCCATAAAGTTTCCAGGGAAAATCCATTAAAAAAATCTCTAAAATAATCTGCCCTTAAAAAAGAATTATGGGCGTTGTTCCTGAAAAAAGACCACAGAACCAAAAAAATGGCCAAACTTTTCCAAGGAACTCAATTTTGCTATTTTCCACATATTAAAATCGAAAGTACCAAATTACAATCACAAGCCATAGAATCAAATACGACTTTTACCCATTTTCGACAAATAACCCTATTTCGATCAAGAATAGTTTTTTTCCTACATATTACATTCCAAGGACTTAAAAAAACACAAGAAATCAAATCGAAATTTTCAAACTAGCTTTAAGCAGAACAAAACAGAACAGAAAATATTTTTTTACATTTTTAATGCATATTGGCCATAGAGGCAAATATGGCCTATAGACAGCTTTTTCAAATACAAACTTTTGGCTCAAGTTTTGATCTTTTCCAAAAAATCCGGTTTTACATGGACAAAACTAAAAGTAAGGCAGATATGGAATCGCGGTTTGTGGCATTGCAAAGCTAAGATTTCAAACTCATAACTGTCCAAATTTCATCATCTTATCTTTTGGACTCGGTGCTTCTCTAGCTCTCCCCCAATGTGCATAAAAGTGAATTCTGAGCACTTTTTTATTTTGCGGAAAAGTGCCAAAAAATCCGG